GGAATTCCTGAATGCCTATGTTTCGAAAATTACTTAACCGATTTTTTTAATAGTAATTAAAATAGCTTTAATTCGGTGTCCATATATGTACATACTTATTCCACATTTTCAACCAAAAAGAGAGAAACTTAAAAAAGCCATTTTATTTATAAATAACTATTGTTTTCTTAAAAGAGTACCTTATTAACACTATTTAAGAATAGATTAATTAAAAAGAGTATTAGGTCATCCTTAATTTGATGTATAACTTGTGAATATATAAATTACCTTCTAAAAGGCTTGGCCTTGCAAATAATTCTCAAGTGAAACTCCTATGTAAGATGGCGGCCATCGGCCGCTCTTCCAAGTGTAACCCTGGGCCGGACCAACACTCCTTGAATATTATTCTTAAGTGATTTTCTTATTGCCAATTTAAATAAAATATAATTTGTAAAGATATTTCTTGTAACAAGTCACAAATCAAATGAAAGGCAATTTTATCCTATACTCAATTAGTAAATTTTTTTTTTCAAAATTTTACATGCAAATCAAATTAAATTACCTGTTCATCAGCTTCAGAGTTAATGAAATCGGTTCAGTATTGGTCTTCTTATATGACTCACAAAAATTTTAAATCGATTTTACGGGGATAAGAAATTGAGTGGATGTCGCTAGGTCTGTCTGTCTGGCAAAGTAGTTTATCAGTTTTAAAGATAATTCGTTAAATTTATTAGATATAAGCTTTTAATTTTAATTTGAAAAATCGAAATAAGTAAGAAATTAATAAATTTTAAACTATTTAAAATAAAAAGCAGCTGACAATCTGTTGTCTTAGTAAGAGGAATTGATAATTTTTTTGCTAGGTCACTTGAAAATGAAATATATTTATGTTACTACCTATTTATTTTTTGCATCCTAAAAAACACCTTGACACCGATGACCTATACATGTAAACTTGTATACAATATTATATTATAGTTTCTGCTTCGAAAAGTAAACAAAAAAAAACAAGATATTACATCCAAAATTTTTTTATTTAATAATCTTAGATAAAAAGATTTTTTGAATATAGTTTTATTTTTGTGCCACTTTTTAAATTTTATATTAAAAAAATATAAAAGATTTCTTTGTAAACAAAAAATAAAGAAAGGAACTGCTGCGTTGCCGTACAATTTTTTTAAGCCATGCTTTATACTTGCGGATATATTATACTGTTAACTATCCGATAAACGCAAGTGTTCTTAATGCCAAACTTTCAAGTTTACAGCCCAAAAATTTTTATCATCAAATTAATACTGGTTCCAAGATAGACGAAGTTATCTAGGACGTTCAAGTTGTGACTGTCAGCAGTAACGTGTGAGCCGAGTCGTGAATGCGACGACTGTTTGTTTGATGAGAGGGTATTTTTTCGCTTGCCCTCGTTTACTACCAGAACCATATCTTCGCGTCCCTATCCAGTCTGGAGAAAGCAGAACACATGGCGCGGTTGTTGAGGCCAATCCAGCCAGCGACTGCACTTTCTTATAGAAGATTGTACCTTCTCTAGTAGCTATTATTATTTTCTGCAGCAATAAATTAAAATGAGGAGTCACCCAGTCTGAAACCTCGTTTGATATCGAACGGCTCTTGCAACTTTCTTTGTGTTTGTTGACGGGCGTTCTTTGATACACAGAGACGGGTGCTTATCTTCACTGCAACCAGATAGTGGTCCGAGTCAGTATTGGGTCCTCAGAGTGTACGCACGTCAAAATTTAACCAAGTTCGTCATTGAACATTGATTTTTCTTTTGTCGTCACCTGGAACGAGTATTCTATGAACCTTGTGTTTCGAGTCTGAAACATGATTCAATAATTAAAGATTCCTTACTTTTTAGAAAAAAAAATTTTTTTTTAGAACATAATTTAAAAAAGTTGCCAAGCAACATTTGGTGGACATCACATACACTTTTCTGATTGGTTGATTCAAATTGACAACTATTCAATGATTTATTTTTTCTTATTGCGAAATCTGCGAATCGTACACACGTTAAAGTAGGTAATTAATTGTTTGTGATTTAAAACGACTTTTTGTTAGCTCTTCACCGCCATGTTTAAAGAGCTCTGCTGGTATCCGTCAGCTCCAGCCGCTTTGCTGTTTTTTAAGCGCCCAATCGCTATTCGAGCCTCAATATAGTCGGGTAGTGTGACGTCTTTTCCACCATCATCGATTAGGGTTTCGGTTTGGCCGTATCTTTTTATAGAATTTTCGAGCAATAAACCTGCCTTCCAGCTTCTCAAGTTCTTCATACTTACACATTTCTCCGTCTTTCTTTTTTCCTGCAAATGCGTCTCGGTTCCCTCTTCAGCTGTCGGTATATATTCCACCGCCACAGGGGCCTGCCTGCAAAAAAGGAGTTAAAAAGTAAAGGAAGTTGTATGTAATTTACATGAGATTTTTTATATTTCATAAATTTTAAACACGAATTAAATTCTTTTGAAAATAAAATAATATAGCCATATTTTCTAAATTATATGCAGCAATTAAATGAAAATCTATGCTGTGAAAATTAATGGTTGTGCAAAATAATAAAATTATAAATAGTAAAATTACTTTTAATTGGTTAAATTAAAAGATTTTGCATAATTTGGTTGATGTCCTAATAAAATTAAAGGCTGGTATCACTGCCGTCCAAGAATTGCGATGGACGGGACAAGGTCGAAAGTGAGTAGGGTCTTGTGACATTTACTACAGCGGCCATATAAAGGAGCGTATATTTGATGTTGTATTCGTGGTGAGAGAGGGACTCCGTCACCGAGTACTGGCATTCACTCCGGTGGATCAACGTCTTACAACAATATGCATCAAAACGAAATTTTTCAAAAAGACGTTGACTTGCGTAATTACCACGACGGAAAAGAAGGACGATGTGACAAAGGATACCTTTAACAAGCGTCTTAACCACTACGCTGTGTATCTAAGCGGGTGGGAGAGATGGTGAAATGCAGCTTGAATGCAAGCAGTAGGCTCGTTACAAAAAGTTGTGACCTTTACCCAATGCCATAGTAGGCACCTGGCGCTGCGCAGATGCCAATCGCTTACTCAAGAAGCATGGATTGCATGGAGCATTGTATACACGTATATGCATGAAAATGAAAAATCATTCATACATATATGCTATAAAGTAAAAACCCAAATAATGGGAAGCAATTAGCCAGCGCCCAAAGTTGTGCAAGGATTTACGCTACTCGCGTAAACACTGCGCTTGGCGACCTCAACGTTAGGGTAGGATATCTTTGACACAACTGTCGGAAAATTCAGCCTCAACAATGAAACATCCCTAAGTGGGTTATGGCTGATCGACTTCGCCGGAGCCCGATATATGGTTGTCTTCAGTGCTCGTTTCCAGCATAAGAAAATTAATCAATGTACTTATTTGTCGGTTATTCTTCCAAACCAGATCGATAATGTTTTGATAGACGGAAGAAATGTCTCCAGTGCTCTTGACGTGCGTACACTCCGAGGACCCAACATCGACTCGGAACGATCCTTAACAAAAACAAAAAAATTTCGAAGTCAACAAGCTGTAACCACAACAGGCAGCCGAACGGCTTTTTATTTGACTTGCCCTCCTGCTCTCAGAGAGCACTGATCAAAACCTCGGTATAAGAAAACTGTGATGGCTTGCTTTTCATAAATTTAACCATGGCCCTACTGCAAGAGTAATACATATGTGAGAATGTATGTTTTTATAAAGCCTTTCTCAGAGAAAAAAATATTTTAGGGTTCAAAAAACTCGAAATCAAAAGTTAAATTTATTTCTTCTGTTTGTTTTCAATTGAGGCACTTCTTCAATTCTTATTCCAATATTATGATTTAAATTTTATCCAAATAAGACTTTCATATATAAGACTTGAAAACTCCTCGCCATAAAAGTAACTAATAGAAAACCCAATAAATACCCTCCATCCGCCCAACCGACGCGCGCGGGGCGACACCGGCGTAACTTGTGGAATTTTTTTTTTTTTTTTTTTTGTAAAATGTTATATATATTGTTACGATTTTACTAAATCAACCTCGATGATTTCCTAAATCCTTCGGGTACGATCTCTGGATTGTTAAATAAAACTCGCCAACTTCATTTGCAGTTTCTTTCGTAATAAAGATTTTATCTATGTCCTTTATTTACTCCGTAATACACAATTCAATTACAAGGCACTTTACTAGCTACAATCACTTGCATCAACTTTCACCATTTACTCTACTTAAATGTAATCTCCAACGTGTTTACTTTACGACTTTACTGATGTTAACGCCAACGAGTTCGCTTTATCACTAACTTCTTGCAGCTGAGTGTCGCCTTTATATAGCAGTCGGCTGCTCGCAGACGAAAGCGTAGAAGCATCGAATTGTTCGCTATGGAAGGTTCTTGTTTTATCATAACTAGAACGTACTAGTTATCGGCTTCTCTCTTTCATCTGACATTCGCCTCGCATTTTCGCAACAATATGATATATGATAAATGACAATTTGAAGTAAATTATAATATTATGAAGGATATATGTGGAGCGCAACTCCGATGTAGAATAATCGGATGTTCAAACGTAAATCCTTTCTCTTTAATCGCTTAGGGTAGTTTTGCTGCAATAATTTTTAAGCGAGAAAGTTTAGGTGGATAGATAACCTTAAAGAGTAATTTTTAAGCAGTCTCTCTATTTCCTCGGTGCCGGTTTTTATCCCGAGATCGTTGTTAATTGTGGAGTTTTTTTCCATACCAAGGGGTTTTGCATATTGATTTTAAGGTTTTAGTCTGCAGACTTTGAATTTTTTCTAAGCTAGATTTTGATGCTGAGCCCAATTTGGATTGGCGGAATATATTATTTGTAATTTAGCAAATACATTAACCTTATCAATATTTTATATTTATAAATTAATTGTACTTTATATTTGATTTTGATATACGTTTGTATCATAGTGCATAATATTTAATTTAATGAAGATATATGTTATATACAAACTCATAGACTTAACAAATTTTTTTTCAGAGACTTATTATAAGCTTAGTGGATTCTAGTTTCTAGTTAAGCAAAGTACATTTTTGAACTCAATTGTGCTTTTAACAGTGGACTTTTCCCCAGAAGAAACTTCTTCTTTTGTCAAAAGAAAAAGAACACGCGAATACAAAACAAACACATCTGAAGAAAATGGCATAGATAAGAAGAAATGCAGCTGCATAGCATAATATCTGAAATAATGGCTTGGAAGGGGCATTTTATTTCCAGAAGAGAAGATTCAGTGGATGTGATGGGAGCTAGACCTGCCCTGGCAGGTAAATTTGATATGCATCTATTACAAGGCAGAACTCACATTAAATAAAGAGCTAAATTAATAGAAGAGTGTGCGTATACGTGTACATCTGTACATCTGTTCAGGATATTAAGAACTTCCATTAAGCCTAATCGGATGAGTTAGAAATAAGCGAATAGGTTAAGCCTCTTTTAATTCAACAGCTACTTAATTTCTCCACAATAAAAACTACACGAAACAGCCATGTAAGAATACTGTAATGCTGATATAAGATGTAATAAGTAGTAGCGATGTACTTCTCAACAGGGATACAGCAGCAACAAACACTAAATAAAGAATTTCCGCAGTCACAGGGGTCTAACATGAACTACCCGGTTAATGAAGCTCCAAACTTACACCAACAAAGTTATTCATCCAACTACGCTCCATTTGACAGTTCAATACAATTAAATGCTGCAATGCATCCAGTGAGGCACCAACATTATCCTTCTGAGCCGCAACAATATCAAGGACAACATCAACATCTTTACTACGATAACACATACAACGTTCCATTTATTGGAGATAGAATGGCTGGCAGAGGTCAAGTTTCCAGTTTTTACGGCAATCGTGCTCGTTACTTTCCCTATCAGCACAGCATTCCACCGCACTCTATTCGTGGTATGTACACACCAGCTGGACAGCAATTAATACCATCAAGTGTGTTACATTACCCACCACGCAGCTCTTCCTATGAACAAAACAACCTGCCCCTACCATTCCCAAAGCAGAGTTCCATGTTACAAACACAATGTAGTTTGCCTCCGCACAGTCAACTACAACTGCGGCCACATTTACGGCAACAGCAGCAACAAACTCAGTCACAATCGCACCGATCAACTCCTTTTGGAGGAAATGAGCAACAAGACTATAAAAATATTGATGCACCAGAGGGGGAGCTTGTGAAGGCGATGCAAACGCCATCAAATTTATTAATGCATTTAAATGGCGGTGATTCACGCACATCTTCCCGAACATCTCCTGTACAAATAGTTTCTACACCGATCTCTCTAAACCAAACACGGCCATTGTCGGCTGATTTCGATGAACTGTCTGCAGATCATCATGAAAGAATTCGACAGGTCACTCCATCGCCACAGCAAACACCTATTGTGAAATTTTCACCAACACACAGCACATCTTCGGAGTTACCGACAATGAGAGAAGGTGCACAATTTAGCACCCGAGTTGCAAGTAACGGTACAGCCTCACTTGCCAGTATAAGCAACACAAGTACCATTAGTTCACCACTGGTGACAGCAAATAGCGACTGCTTGACCACAACGCCACCGCTAATAAGCGCAACTGGGACAGACAGCGGCATTAGTGTTAGTAGTTGTTGCACACGTATTCGAAGCGACAGCACACATAGTACACCTGCCTACAATGGCGAATATCCACTCTCAGTGGGTTCGTCCTCTGGGTTGTCGTACCATTGTTCTGACATTAAGGAACTAGAGGAGTTTAGCAGAGAAAATGAGGAGTCGACCTCGAGCCGAGGTTTTAACGAAAATATCATTTTCAAATTAAAACAGGAGGATACAGGGGACGAAAATAATGAAGAAAGGTTGATACATGGTGCCAGATTTAAAGAAAACTCGTATAATATGAATGAAGAAGAAAACAACAAAATTAACAGCGGTGAGTATAAATGTTTACATACAAATGTAAGTATAATATAGTTGAATATAATTAATATGTATAAATAATTACTTTGCTTTTTAAATGCTAAACACTTCTTTGAGAACAAGATGATTAAATTTGGTCTTGTCACACCAACCTTTGTATTTGTTCGCGCAGAAATGGCTACATTAAATTTATCTGATATTCCGGTAAAATAATGGAATGTAATGGAAAAGAAAATGGTAACGAAATAATAAAGTTGGAGCTACTGGCTTTCAGTGGTGACCCTGCGTGGGATTTCTTCACGACGTGCTATAGAAATTAACGCATCTTGGTTGATAGCCAATTAAAAGCAATTTTCGCTATTGAAAAAGTACCTTGAGATTATATCAATGCTAATAAGTAAGTGCTAAACGCTACCATACAGAATCTTAGTTCCTTGCCTGATTGTAATTAGGTTGTAGGTTTAATTTTGGGACGACAGGTTGGTTCTCATTACAGTTTCGAAATTGGATTACGAAGCCAGATAGAAATGAGATTGATCGTTGGGAAGATATGTTTTGAAATTAAAATGATATCTACTGGTTCGTTATGGGCATCAAGGCAAGCAGCGCAGCAGCTTAGTAAAACAGTATCGAAAACAACAACAAACTTACTTCTTGATTTTGACGATCAACGCTAACCTCAGCTCAAATCGAGTTGTTCAACAGCCTCTTTTTTCCTGCTTTCATCGCCGCGGTAACTATAAAGCTTATGATTGTTCATCTTGATTAGCACGACACAATCACTTCGGTTATTTTGTCAAAAATCACAAACGGTCTAGCCACGGTTGACGTACAGAAGTCATCGTGAACGCATTTACGGAACCTCGCTCTCGATGGTCAGTATTATGCCAAGCCTTTCTTCTTTGTCCTTTCGTGTTAATTGAAATGGACGAAATGGATACATTTTCACTTAACGGTCTTTCGAAAGCATCACGCGGTACTCCCATTGCGGAAAAATAGTTTTTGGTTAGGTGCTTCTCGGCAAAGCCATGCGTTCATCCAATTCAAGTTCGAATTTTCTGTCTCTGCATTACGATGTTCAACTCATCAGAATCGTAAGTGACTACTACTTCTGCGCAAAAAATAATTTCCGTGAGCACTACCGACCCTGAGGATGGACGTTACGTCGTACGCCTTCCGACGAATAGTTCATTCCAAAAGGCTTGCTACGAATGGAAAAACGTTTCACTGTTGATGAAGACCTACGTCGTCAATACGCACAATGTACGCAAGATCTCTTCAGCCTTGATCACATGGAAATTACAGGTAATGCTCAAGTACTTGTTAGTTTTTACATGCCACACCACGTTGTCGTAAATAGCACTAGTTTCACTATCAAACTTAGAGTCGTTTTCAATGCGGGCTACTCACTCAACGAAGCGCTTATGGTAAGACCAGTTGCTAGGTAATCTGTTCTCTGTACTTGTACGATTTCGTCCGTATCGTTGGGTGACGTCGAAAAAATGTACCGACAGGTATATATCAAAAGAAGATGCCAATTATCAACGCATAGCTTGGGGTGATATTCCAACTGAACACATTCGAGCCTACCGTATGGTTTATGTTACACTCGGCGTTTCTGCAACGTTTCATTTGGCCGTCCAACCTCTTCGTAAAACTGTGTCAGATGCCCATGAGAATACAAAGTAGCGCCACTCATGATGATAAGATATTTCTACATGGACGATTTTGTAACAACATCATTCTCATTAAATGAAGTTTTGAAGTTGCAAGATGACTTAACTAGAGTTTTGCCTAACGGTGCTTTTGAGTCACGCAAATGGGGGCGAATTGTAAAGGTTTTCGCGAAGTTAAAGGCCGCTTAACATCGTTCGTGAATTCCAAACTAGTCAAGGGGGCCAGTTAAATTTTAGTTGCAAAATGAAAAAGTTATATGGACGTACTGACTGTACTATAAGTTTAGCCTGGCTTATTTTGGCCATCCAAGCCTATGGTCAGTTTACGTTGCGTAGCGTAACCGATGGACAAGAGGTTCTGTCTTCAGAGCGCTGGAGACATGCCCGTTCGGGAGACCTAACTCCGTTTCTGCAGTTTAGCCTACAATGGCAAGATGAAAGCTAGTGACAACAAGAAACAATAGTTGATTGAGAGTCGTCGACAAGTCAAAATTCTAATATTGATGCCGAATAAAAAAATCAATAATACCACAGCACATATTACTTACACTACAGAAGAGTGGGAACTGCTATCAAGATACCATTCATTCATCAAGCTTATGAGGGTTACTGCCTATGCACTACGCTTTATAAAAACCCAATCCAACGCCAAGCTGAAATAGTATTGGTAAAGTATGCCCAAACTACCGGCATGAAAAGGAAATTACTTCTTTCTGGTTACACAAACACATACCATTACAAATCATTTAATCTTGCTTAACCATTTTTGGATGCTAATGATGTATTTCGCGTCGGAGGGCGAATAAAGCTTATAGCTTCCCTCGATCTCTACTGATGCTAAACACCCCATAATCTTACCGAAGAACTCGACACTAGCCAAAGTCATATTGCTCGGCATTCATAACACTACACCCTAAGTCAGAAATCATGCAAACCATTCTACACGTTTCTTCTGGGTGCTTGGTTCTTGTAATCTTGTACGTGCAATCTACCACAGAGGCATTAAGTGCAAAGTTATAACATGGCAAAGAACAGGTTAGTCAAGTGATGTCAGTTATTACCAGCAGTTGTCTAACGAATTCTCAATATTATATATATATAGAAGCTCGAAATCATGCAAAACATATAAATATATTCACCTCGAACTCGTTGACGATCTCTCGTTACCTCGCTACCCTTCATCTCTGCTTTCTCAAGATTTGTAAACAGAAGATGTTTTTGCCAGAATATATAATCAGATAACGGTACGAAAGAGTTATACGTTGCATACCAATGCTGCTTAAAGGATGAAAAGCTTTCCACATATTTGACCAACATGCAAGTTACATGACATTTCAAGCGGGGTTAGGTGTGTAAAAATACAATTTAAACCGTGCACATGATTCTTGTTAACCTCCATTGATGAATGGTTTTGACCCTCTTCTAATCTTAAAGAAGAAGACGTCGTCGTAAAACACGACCCACTTTCTCACACACTCACAGTAAAATAATGGAATGAAATAAAGAAGAAAAAGGAAAGTTATAAATGAATTTTTCCACCGCTAACATCGTGTTCTTCTAAAATCGAATATAATCCACATCTTTTTTCGCAATAATTCGGCAGCTCGCATTTGCACGCAACAGTATTTATTCATCTTCTATTGAGAATTATGTATGTAATAGTAACTAATGATTAAATAAAACGAGCCAATCCCTATCAAAAGACCACAGTAGAATTATTTATAATGGTGACGTTCATCTACTGCTTAAATGTATTTAATTGGATTCAAACTTTAGTTTCTGTGGTTATTTACTTTTCAAATAATTATCCGTATACTTATGAAGTACTTGCGAGTATACCCATTTGGCGAAGTATATTTGCTTGAATTACTTTTATTTTTTTTATTTAATAATGCCGGCCACAAAATTTCTTAAGTTTTTTGTTATCATCATGGCTACACCTTGTATACGACTTTAGTTTGTTTTATTCAAATTTTGCAGAGTACAAAACTGACCCTTATGAATCTGAAGCTTTGGATTGTGATTCGAGAGTGAATGCGACCACAACAAACACATCTTTGATGCCTAAAATAATTACTCCCACTAATACATCACATGGTGAAAGCAAAAGATCTCCAGAAGCCAAAGATTCCAAAAATGTTGTTAAAGAATTATTCTTAGAAGAGGTAAGTTTACAAACCACTCATGTCAATAAATATTATCTTGACAAAAAATTTAATGAGGACATTCGGATTGTTAAAAGTTATGGTTGAAAATAACTCACAGCATCTTCAAGCAAAGCATTTATGCTTAAAAAAATTTTCCTTTTTAAAACCTACATCAGAAATGAAATATCAACAGGAGCATTCACACTGACTTTGTTAATTCGTTTAAAGTGTCTGGCGCGCAATAAAATAACAGTCGGACAAGCTTAACAAATTTTTCGTTAGATGGTAGCATTCAAGTCGAATTCTTCTATTTCGTAAATGCGTTCATGTGAACCCTCTTTTCAATTGTCAATAAGAATATTATATAGCAATTAGCCTCCTCAATATCAATATCAATTTCGCATTTAAGGCTCTGGTGTATTGTGTGAACAACTAAAGTCAACCGACAGCAAAGTTATTGGACCATCTCAGCGTGGACTTAGACCTGGTTAATCCACCATTGATTAGATGTTCACTATGCGAAACCTTGGAAATGAGCCATGAGAGAAGAATCGATACACACCACGTCTTCATCTACTTTAAATTCATCTTCAATTTGATGCTGGAGAAAATAAAAAGAGATAAATGGACAAGGCACAGACTTTTACAAGAGTTTAAACTGTCGTATACTGATGACATTGATATCATAAGCATTAACAATTACGCCGCTAGCTCTACTTTCTTTGATTGATTTTGGTAGAAAGTACAGAGTTATATTCTCTACGGTTTAAGGAAAAACTTATTTTTCAGGTCACTTACTTTTTCTAAATCACGTGTAAGCCCGTATCTACCCCTACTTCAGTCACATTTTCTTTTGTACTTCTAGAATGCTACAAAAATATCAAATATTGAAGCCGAACCAAAGGAGCATATAAAGCCAAACATGTGTAATGAGCAGAAGGAAGCAAATATACAGACTGGAGTTTTTACACGTTTTGATAATACAGAAATTCAACAACAAGAGCTGCCGTCTCCACCACCAGCCCCACCGCAGAACTCACCAGTCGGTTATTTCCCCTCAACAAGCTCAAATATGAACACATTCGGATATGCTACTGCGATATCGTCCCAATTAAAGCCACCTTCCAAAGGAGCTGCTACAGCTGCAGCGGCAGCAGTAGTTGCAGCGGCTGCTGCAGCAGCTGCTGCTTCAATACGAACGAATAAAAATCGAATTATGGAATTCGATTCCATGACGAGTAAAAAACCGAAACGAAAAATTAATTTTTTGACGGGAAAGTGGCAAAAGGATAACGAGGAAGGTGAAACAAACGAAAGTAATAGGAAAAACAAGGTATGTACAACAGAGGAGTTAAAGAACGATAAATCTGTTGAGGAGTATTTATTTTTTTAAAATCAAAAATAAAAGATATTCGAAAGTACAGACTTTGAAAGGCTTCCAAGTTTAAATTTCCTTAATTATGAGCTTTTTAATCGCATTGTAGTTGATTTGCGTAATATAATATGTATGAATCGATATAAGTTTGACTGCAAGGCAAAATTCAATATTCATAAAAAGAATTCTTCTTAACTTGCGAGAATGAGACCACCGGTTCCTTTGCCTTTACCTCTAATAAATTGGGCGAATCGTTTGCCAAATCTTACCAGAGTTTTGTGCAATAAAATTATATAATTTTTTTTTAAGCATTTTATGAGAAAAATTATATAATGTGAAAACTTAACAAAACATACTAAAGAGGAAATCTCAACACCCTTAATATTATTATAAGATATGTAAACGTATCCTTAAGTCATGGGTTACGGACTTACCTTCACTTTTTGTGAACCGTACCATATTCAAAAAATATTTTTCTTTTAATTTGAATTATTCAAGCGAGTTATCGATTATTACTGAACAAAGATGTTAGCAATGCTTATGAAATTCAGTAAGAAGTTTTGTTCAATGCAATACTGCCTTCAGGTTGAGCTTTCTGTTAAATGTTGTTCTTTAAAGGCTGGTGGATCCATTTTCAAAGGTATTTCGCAAGACAGTAGACCAGCCGTTCATAACGTACTAGTATATGTACATTAGTGGATCGTTTTGCTTCGGGCATGTTTACGCCATTTAAGCCCTCTATTATAATAAATTTCGAGGTAGGTAACTTCGTTTTTTGAATAGCCCAATTATTTACTTTTATTACTGGCAATATGGTGGAGATTTCATAAGATATTCAGAAGCAGTATTAACCGCTAAGGGGGATATGATATATGACATAATTGGACCGAATTCGTTTTTCAAAGGATCACCGGTTTTTCAGACCCAAAGTCAGAAAGCCCATAAGATTGGCCTAAAAACCCACGTTTTTCTTTATAGTTTTCGTATATGTATAATTACATCATATTTAGTGCTTTATTTCTTCCTTGTATAACATATTTTAAATCCAAAACCTCAAATCTGAACATATCGGAAGTAAAGGGCTGTATGATATACTCCTTCGAATATCAAATCTTACGATTTTAATTGCTTTTTTGATGGACTTATGACCCGAAATCTCAAAGCTGAAAAATCTATCGTACATATGTTAAAGTGGTTTGATCTGGTTCCGACAATTAACGTTTCAAAATATATCTGTGTACCAAGATTGGTGAAATTACCTAAAGACTGACGAGGTAGTTTGCATACAAACAGACGGATATAAATAAATCAACTCACTCTGATTATATCAGTGAAAATTTGGATGATAGACCCATCCATCCATCCATCACATGAAAATTTTCAATTTGCGTAATTTGTTGCAAAAACAATTGGGGATATATCATTTTTGCTTAAAGGATCATGATCATCTTGGGGTGTTCTTTTACTAATTCTTATCAGCCAACGTCATACGGGCTCGTGTTCATAGTCAGGGATTTCGAAACCGAATTACAATTTCTTCAATTATGCATTTGAAATTGAAATTTAATTTATTTGCATGAATTTAGTCGCTACCATATTTGCGGATACGATGTGTGTGAATTACGCAATATATATGATAGATGAAGCAAAATTCGTCTGTATTATGTGTCTACGTGTATGTCTTGATTTTTTCCCGAACAAATGGAGGGACCTACAGTTTATACAAAGTCGCCTCCGAACGGCTGATGATTTTTTTTATTAGGAGGTTTGTTTCATGTCCGAAATACACTCGAAGGGGTTGATATTCCTAGCCGGGGGCGACCGCAATCAGAAAATTTAGAAAATTTTAATTTTATAACCAAACCTATAACCAAAAAAAAAAAAAGAAAAATTTAGATATATTAATGGTTGAATAAATTTGGTTCATTATTTTTGCGCCTAAACAGGATTTAACTCCGTTGCCTGGATTTCAGCAAGCGTTCGGCTCCACAGAAATCGGTAGATTTTTTGAAAAATTTTTATTCAGTCCGCCGGATTTTCATAATCCCAACGATGGGCATGAGACTTTTGATGTTGGAGATCAGCAACAACAGCCACTACAAAATCAACTTCCAATTAAACAAGAAAATCAACAACTAGGACTTAATCGAATACAACCACAAATTCAACAACAGCAGCAACAATACACGCAACACGAGCTTTTTTATCGAAAATATGCAGAAGATAACGTTTATCAAACTCAACGATTGCATTCTCGCTACCCACATCCGCACCTGCATTACCGTCATCCATACTACAGGGACCAGCCGTATCCATATCAAAATACCGCAGCGAATAACTACCGCGATATGTACATTTTTGGACGCCCATCGCATTCATTACATGATTTGCCTTTTGAATACGGTACTTCATATCCGAGTAGCTGCACCCCTTCATCGCCTTACGAAATGCCTTTAAATGTTCGATCAGCTTATGGCTCTTCTTATGATCGAATAGGTTACAGTTATGGGATAAAGAATAGCAATTATGGTGGTATACGTTGTAATGGATATTAAGGTGTATGTTTCATATGTGAAATGAGGAAAATAAAAAATTAAGTTCAAATAGAAGAAATGAGCAATTTTCAAAATTATAAATTGTTATATTGCCATGTGCAAATTTGTAGAATATATGTTAGCATGAATCAAAAAAAGAAATATTGGGTGTAAAATTTATATGTATGATATTTATGTACGATCATTGTTCTGATCATGTGAAAAGTAAATATATGTGCCTTTTCGGACAAAATTCTGGGACATCTTCTTCAGTTTAAATAAAAATTATCCATGAAAAATTGATCAAAATTACGAAATCTCAAAACCCAAGTAAAGTTATTACATAATGTTTTTAAAACTTCATCATTAAACCGCAAGTTATGTATATAAATGAAAAATATATAATATGTAAATACAAACAACAAATTCGGTGATAGTGTTTATTGTATAAAACAAATAAAATATATGTCAAAAGATCTAAAAATTATAAATAGTACAATTTTGGGGTAATATTTGTATGTACATTAAATTACATAGTACATTTCTTTCACGAGCTCTATTGCGCAAACAATAAATCTTAAAATAATCTATTCGGTGCTAAGACTTTGTTTCCGCAATAATACTTACGTATGTACATATATTTACATATGACAGAAGAAAACGTTTTTTTTATAGTCAAAATACTTCAAAAAGTATCTTCAACTTTTCCAGTTATAAGTTCCGTTTTTGTGGCAAAAAGTAATATTTTCTTAGATTGACCGAAAATCTCAGGCGTTAATTGTGTGAAATCGCCAATACCGTATCTTTTCGACAAAAAGAACGTTAAGCGGTTTGCGCTAGAGTTTTCTTTTTCAGAGGTACTAAGATTTTTCGCCACCATTCAACTGAATTCCCGCAATAAAATACACAAATAAGAAAAAACATTTATTTTTATTATTTGGCATATATACGTGTGGACGGGACTTGATATTTATATAATAAAAAGCAAGGGAAACTATTTTTTTTTTTTTGAAAAAAATTATATTTTTGTAAATATGGGAAAATATTTCTTATACAGAAGAAAAAACAAATTATACAATTTTATTTTTTTATTAAAAATGGCGCAATTTGCAGAAAATATTAACAGAAAGTTGTTTGTCCACAATAACCCACTGCACACTTTTTAAACATCATTTTTTCACAAAATAGGGATTATCTATTGTATTTCCCAAAAGCTTTTTATCAGGCAAAGAAAATATGCAAAAAACGGTTACTATGTAAAATTTAAAAACATTTTGACATTATTTAATTTTGCAATTCGTATTATATGACGCCAAAAGTTAGGGTTGCCATCTATTGAAATTTTTGATAAGAAATAATGTTAATTTTAAAAATTTAAAAAGTTTTGAAATTTAAATACATTTGTTCGATATAAAAATATTCAGAACGTTTCAGTAACTATTGTTATTTACTTAAAAAATATACCATAAAAGGCTTTAGAGTTTTGTTGTAAAAATATTACATTGTTTCATAGATAAAGTTATACAAATTTATTTTAAAATTTTCGGCAACCCACAAAATTGAACCAACTTCATCATTAAATATATGATTCTGCTCTTATCGTAACCTTCTATTTTATAAACCTTGTACGTTTACCATACAACATATTATACAATACCTATAATAAACTAGCCTTCTATTCGATTAAGTTCATAAATTTTAAATATTTTACATTTTTGGTTTCCATAATTTAAAGCAGTTATGCAAGTAAATGAAAGAAACATCAGATTTTGGTAAATATTATGATATTAAATCTACATGAATCAAATAGAATAAGTAAACAATAGATATTTACTGATAAGATGTAAGATAAGTTGATGGCCAAAAATTAATTCTGTTATTGAAATTCTATTGTTATAAGAAAATAAAATTAAAATTAATTGTAATTAGTGTCTTTCCCTTTAATTAATAAGAAAACATACACAAAACGGAAAAGAGTGAAGTCATTCAATAAATTGAAAATGCATTAATTGTAAGTTTTCGTAGTGCCACAGAATGAACACTTTTCTTTGGTCATAATAACACCTTAAGTAATGCAGGACATAACAATAGCCGTTGACACTTAAGCAACAAGGAGTGTAGTCACTGAGCTGTTCGACAGTTCAGAAAAAAATTAGTTCACAATAACTTAGGTCAATATCATATAATATATAATTAAATACTGACAGTTTATTTTCGCTCAATATTCTTTGTTTGAAATATCTATTTGGGTTTCAAATTTTATTTTATATTCTTGAACCGTTAGTATACCGGGCAGAGAAGTGAATCGAATATGGCTAATATTATTGAAGATAGGGTGTTTTAACTTTTGCAGCATGTATAAATTTGATAAAAAATAATATTTAAAAATTCTAAAACTTAGCAGTGGTAAGAAATGGGTTCGTTTCGGATGGAAACATTATGTCGTATATAATATATTAATTAGAAGTATATACGTATATATTTTAATATAATATTTATTCTACTTTTACGTCAACCGGTTGAACAGTAGTAATTGGTCGAAAGAATTAATTCTTCTATATATGTATGTATTAATAATTGTTGCACACATAATTAAGATTAAATCTATATACATATTGTTTTTATTGGCTTGGCTTATATTATCAAAATAAACATAAGCCCTATAAATAGACAATTCCCTTTAAGCGCTGTTCCTATAATTTGTATTTTTCTTAAATCAAAATGTACAATAATTCAAAAAAGGTAGGCACAGAGGATAAGGGACTCTGGTTATGAAAGTAAAAGTTTGAAAATTTATTCATAGTAATGAGCGTGAGCTTGCCTCACTGCAGCCTCAAGCAAGCATACCTAGAGCGCTACTTGTCAAGTCTGATTTTTTTTCCATTATTTTACTAGCACATCGAATTATCCATTAGTACCCAACCATTTGCTTAGATATAAAAAATATGAAATTTTTACCATGAGAAATATGCATGTTCGTTTCGATTATTACTTTCTTATTATAGTGACTTACTTTATAGCCATAGCTAAGGTAGTACAAATATAAAAGCAAACGGATATTCGAGTGTGAGGTATTTTTCAAGACTCTTTATGAAATTCGGATTTATTTCTCGGTTATTATTACTTAATATTTGTATACATAAGCAAAAGCTAAGTATATAAAATGCTATAGTAAGCAGATATAGCTTTAGTCAAAAAAATAAGATCATTAATGTGCCATTTAAATAACGTCTTTTATTGAATAACCATTACTCTAACTTTTTTAGGCAATTGATAGTAAATTTTTTCTAAATGATGTTGTAAATGAAGATTATATACTGTAGCTACAAATGTAATGTATATATTAAGGCGCATATGTATGAACAACATTAGTAAAAAATATTAACTCTGATCATATGTAAAAGTTGAAAAGTAAAATTTATTACAAAAAAGGATGTTACGTTTCTGTGGATATGTAAAAATCGAGTTTTTAATTTCATAATTCATAAGGAAAAAACCTTTACGAATAAATGTCAGTGGTTATTAAATAATGGCAACGAACCAGACTCTAGCAAAATTGGGGAATGATAGTCCAGAAACAAAATTTTCAAATGTGGTATTTCACATACTCATACTCATAAGTTGCAAATCGAAGTTTCAGCTGCCAATACAAAAATGTGAGTGAGACGAATGTAAATTGAATTAAATAAAATTTTAATAACCAAAATTAATCATATATTATTATCAGAAAGAGACTACACAATACGAAATTTGCTGAAGAAAAAGTTTTACTCCGAGTTACATATAAATAACTAAAACTGATACATTTCTTTTTAATGTTGTTATAGCAGCTCATTACTACCAATGAGGGACTTGAATAACAATACATACATATGCTGGATGAGTTGATCAGCGGACGCTACCGTTAAGCTCCAAAGTTGTTTCCTTGCTTTATGGCTAATTGGAAAGTCCTTTGTCTAATATTGATAAGCATGCAGCGTAATCGAAACTCTCTCTTTCACCATCCGAAATTTTAATGCTCAATATGCATATGTACATGCTTTCTAACATGATACACAAATTTTTAAGATTAAACTTATCTAGAGACAGACATATGATGCTGCCACATTTGATAATATATCTATCTTTATATACATGCATAAGTACATATGTTCATATATAATTAATTATAATATTTAGAACAACGATATCTCTTTTTCTTATGACATTACGCGGAAATTATTCTTTCCGAGAACTGGGCTTTGATTCGCATAAATCCAAAAGAATCTTACTAGAACCATATTTAAATTCCAAGCGGACACAGAAATCTTAATTTTATAAATTTTTTATGTAAATAGTATATCTTTAACGGCTTTGAATAATTTTCAATCAAAGAAGATAGATATTTTCTCGTAGCACGAAAAATATGCAACAGGTTTAATGTCAGATACGAGGGGCGTCTGATAATCTCGGAGGTGCTAAGGTACTTTATAAAACAAAAGTATAGTTTTTTTTTTCAATATGGTCTCCCTCAAGTGAAATACACTATTCACATAATGAATACAATGCCTTTATACTACTGAAAAAAATTTATTTAGTTTTCTTTTCAAAATGATTTTCCACGGTCGCTTTCATCTCACTGTCGTCTGAAAACATTGTCCCCTCCATTTTATTAAATTTGGAAAAAGGGAAAAAGTCATTGGGAACCGAGTACGTACTGTAGGGTGGATGGTCAATGCCTGTAAATCCAGTAGCTTTGAAGGCATCCCTCGCAACCCCAGCGGTGTAAGCGGGGGCGTTGCCTTGAAGAAACAACACTACGTCGTCGACTTTTCCACTTTGAATTTTTTTGGTGGCCACCGCATCTTCAACTGTTACAAATCACGTTGACAAAGCTCCAAATGATCTTAACAACTTTCCAATCGTCCAGCACTTTCTTTGCGAATATAGAATCCTTCTGCTATCAGCCACAATTTAATTCTTCGATCAGCCAGTACAAATTTTTCAACTTTCTAAACATTTTCTTGTTATGGGTCATCTTCACAGGTCTCTTTTCCGACGACATTTTTTTAATTTCTTTTGGCGTATTTTTTTCTTACAGCGCGCCTCGAATCGTGATAATTTCCAACTTCCGTTGACATACTGCTGTTGTTAATGAAACTAATTAAGGCTGTGTTATATAATATATAACAAAATTTGGGGCCCTTTAACCGCTGAATTTTTCGGCCGAGCCCCTCCTCCACTTTGATGTTTTTCCAACAAATGGAGGGATCTACACTTTATACTAAGCCGCCTCCGAACAGCTGATAGTTTTCTTACGAGGAGCTTTTACTTCTAGCCAGAAATATACTTGCAGGGGTTGACATTCCCTGCCGTGGGGCGACCGCAATTAGAAACTTTAAGTTAATT